TCCGGGGAGCGGGGGAGCGGCGGGGCCGGGGGGACGCGGGCTGTCGGGGGGAACCGGCAGCCGCCGGGTGAACAAGGAGAGTTCACCCCCCCCGGCAGCAGCGGGTGAGACCGATTGCGGCGCAATCGGGTCCCGTCTCCTTTCAGCTGCACCCCCTTGTTTCTCCCAACAGGGGAACGGGCACCGGTACCGTGTGTCCCGCGGGGCCCTCCGCTGTGTGGAAGTCGCGGGGTGCTGGCCGCGTGTGGGGTCGTGAGGATTTCTGGCCCCTGTGCTGCTGTACCTGCGGGGAAGTATTGAGGGATCTGCTTTACGAGGGGGGAAACGACTCCCCACGAGCTGTGTAGGGCACACGTACTCCGGTGTGCGACACACACACCGCTCCTGCTCTGACTCGTTAGCTGGAAAATGAGAAGAGTCTTGTGACCTTTATTTGCGGCTTTCCACGGGAAGAGCTTGGCTTTCAGTGTTTCCCCCCACACCTATTAAAGAGAAAAATATCCCACTTCTGCTCTTGATGTTTTTAGAAGCAGAGATGAAAGAGCACAGTGAGCCTTGTCCTCTGCTTCTTCAACAGCGCTGCTGTGGGGTTTGGGGTTGCTCAGCTCTTAACCAGAAAGATCAGAGGATTCAGTCTTTAAAATAACATTTTATTCTCCAAAGTATCATTCAAGTGTTTGAGCTGAACAGTTACTAGAACAGTTCACAGTCAGAATGAAAATCCTCCCTCCCCTCATCGCTGTGTTTGCGTGATGGGTGAGTGGCTCAGTCTGGGTCTCCCAGCCTGCAGTCTTCTCAAATAAGCAGACACATGAACATATGAAACAGTAAAAATACAAACAGTGGACACCAAAGCATAAGAAAGGCAGAAAATCTTGCTAGGCACTTCTGTGGTGCATTTCCTTTGGTCGTTGGACCCCGTGCTGGATGTTCTTGGGGTGGCCCAAGCACCCAACAACTGGGGTGCAATGAGCAGGCAAAGCTGCTGCTCCTGGGTGAACGTGCCAGAGAAATGAGCAAAGGAGAAGTGCTAAAGAAAGCCTGGAGCTGTCTGAATACCCAGAAACGTGAGGCTGCCCTGGCGTAACAAAGACTGCAGTAACAGGAGAGGAAAAGCTGTCATTCTCCTGGTTTGGGGTTATAAGTTGGCAATGTGCCCTGGTGTGCCTGACCTCCAAGGCCCATGGTGCCCATTTCTGGGCTCCATCATGGAGCAAAATATTCACCCGCTCCCCAGGTAATGCTCTGATGGGTGTCTCCCTCTTCTTTTCCCAATGCTTCTGTGCTCCTCATCTCCCTTTCCCTTTTCCTGCTTTCTCTGGTGTGGAGACAATGTGGTACTTAGAAAACATTCACAGTGGATTCTCATTCCTATTCCTCCTGCTGCTCCTCTTCCTCCCATCGAAGGAGCCCGTCTCAGTCCTGGGCTCTGTACTTGCCCTTCCCCAGGCTGGCTGGAGACCTTGGCCAAGGCTGTATCTCCTTGGACACTTCCAGCCTTCATTCTTCCTGGGAAAGACCTTCTTCAGTTACGTCAGCTGAGCTAGTGCAGAAAAAAGTAAGGTCCCAGTTATCCTTTTCACTTCTGCCTCCCAAGGAAGCTCTAGCCCCAGTGATAGGAGTGGAAGAAACGTGAAGCAGTTCCAGTTTCTTTCTCCATCTTCTCAGCAAGTCTTGTCCAGTAAATATCACCAGTCAGAGCAAATCCTCGATGAGAAGGTGCCCCGCCTGAGACCTTGGCCCCACTGGAAAGCCTATATCTCTGTCACAGACCTGCTGTGGCTCAGCCCACCCTGCTGCCTTAGGAGAGCTCTCTTCAGCCTGCCCTGGATGGTGCAGAGCACGGCCCTCCGGAAACTGCTGGACAAGAGGAAGAAGATGACTGGGTCAAGGCAGCTGTTGAGGGCTGAGATGCAGAGCACAAGCTCATTAGCCAGATGGAGACTCTGCTTCCAGGGCAGACTAGAAATGATCCCCACTTGTGCAAGGATGTAAGGAATGCGGACAACGTGATAGGGGGTGAAGCATACAATGAAGATGATCAGGACTATGAAGGTCTTGGAGATGGCTCTCGTGCTGGTCTTCTTGTTCAGCTGCTGAGCTTTCACTGAAGACACTCTGTGGAGCTTGGCAAATATCTCACTATAGAAGTAGAGGAAAAGCAGCAGCAGGATGAAGAAAGTGGCTACTGCAACCATGTTAAAAGCTGCTGCTGTGGTGCTTTTGCTCCTGAAGTGGAAGCATTTGTGGTCACAGGGCCCCTTTCCTCTCGTCTCAAAAAAGAAAGGCAGCATGAACAGTGTGTGCACGAACCAAACCACCCCAGAGACCACATTGCTACACAACACAGTGTGAATCCTAAATTTCTGCAGGGGCCAGATGATCTTCAGGTAGCGGTCGAGGCTGATCAGGCTGAGGAATGTGATGCTGACGTACATGTTGAGGTAGAAGAAGGCCCCGATGATGTTGCAGAAGATCAGAGGCTCGCTCTTGCCGTGAAAGGCGATGCGGAAGGGCAGGCAGAGGGAGAGCAGCAGGTCGGAGAGCGCCAGGTTCCTCAGGTAGACGGTGATGGAGGTCCTGCGCTGCGCGCCACACAAGAACACCCAGAGCGCCAGGGCATTGCTGAGCAGCCCGATGATGAAGATGAGGGAGTACATCACAGGGAGCGTCACAGAGAGGAACTCGTCTCGGATCTCAGAGCAGGAGTTGCTGAGTCTGTGCTCTGGGAGCTGGCTGGCAGGAAAGGGGGTGCTCGGGGAGTCCATCGTTAGGGCCATGAATCTGGAAAGAAAAATGCAGGAGGTGTTGGAACAGACATCTGCGTGAGCTGATTCCATACAGGCACTGTCACTTCTAGATAGTGAAGACCTCTGCGGTACCTCTGTGGTTCCCCGGTGCCCCAGGTCACTGCAAACACAACTTTGCAGTCTCTCAAACTGTTATGTGAAGGCCACCAGCTTGCACAGCACATGGAAAACCAGACTGGCATGAATCTGCTAGGCTCACACGCTGGCTTTTTGGCACTGTCTTCTGTCCCCTGGGGCTCAGGCCTGCAGGGAAACCTACACACAGAATCTGCCTGTTCAACCCTGGTGAGAAAACAGGCCGCCACACTCCTACCACAGGCTGGTCCAAGGCTTGGTGACTGGCTTTTCTCATGCTGCTCTGTGCTACTCTCTAAGGAAGGATGTGAGACTGGAGTGGTGGAAGTTGGCTGCTGTGTGCTAGGTAAGCACACCCTACTCAATACCAAAATCTGGGGTTCCTTGGCAGGGCAAAACCACATTTTTGGTTGTACATGAGTAACCAAATGGGTAGAGCAAACATGGATTCAGACCAGCCACAGCATGACAGAGGGCTCCAACTCTGGGCACGTGTGTGTGCCTCCATGGCTTTGGTCTCAGCCCTTTTCTCATGATTGTACACACAGCCGCTTTTCCATCGGTGGTGCAAGGCTGCTGGGCTCCTTCACCAGCCACGGGAAGGCAGGGAGCAAGCCCACATCAGGGACAGAGGCACTGCACCCATGGTGGCCCCTCTCTGCCTGGCACTGCTGGGGACTGACCCCAGAAGCTCTTCACGTGCCCCTGACCTCCTGTTTCCCCTGGGCAGGGACGGGAAGCGTGGTTCCTTCCAGCCCCTCACCCTTCACTCCCCTTCCTGCTTTCCATGACGTTGAGTTACCCGTAGCTGCAAAAACCTCCAACTTCCTTCCTACCTGCCATAACTTGTCTAACTTGTCTACTCTGCTCCCTTCGTACATCCCCAGCCTCAGGTGCTGTAGGATGGAGGCAGCAGAGCAAGATGGATTTGTGGCTTGAGACACAAGGTGCTGTAAAACCAGCAGGTGTTGAATACCTCAAATTCCCAGTTCTGGTTTGCTGCATGGGGGTGATGCCACCAGGCACCTGACTGCTTCAAGGTGGATCCTTGCAGCATCCCTGGGTGCCTGGATGGACCCAGCACAGTGCCTCTTGCCTGGGGGGCTGTGTTGGTCCCTGCAAGGGCAGGCACGGACCCCTGGGTGTGTGCACAGTCGGATTACCAGTACAAGCACTTAGAGAGCTGTGTGTGTGTCATGCAGGGGTGTGTGCATGTATGTACAGCTCTGTGTGGGTATGTGCATGTATGTCCAACCCCATGGCAGCCTGACCTTCATGTGGGAGTGAGAGTTGGGACAGTGGTACACACTGTGTGTGTCTGCAGGGCTGTGACAGTTTGCCTGAGAGTGCACAGCTGTGCCAGGGTCCCCGTGCCCGTGTGTGACTCCAGCCACACTTGAGACCATTGCGTGGCAGATGTTCCTGCCTGTCCTGGGCTCCTTCTGCTCAGCCCACTGTTCTCCCCACCCAGCCCCAGCCCAGCTTTTCCCACCAGCCATTCCCCCAACCTGAGTTAGTACCCCTGTACCCCCTCAGTACCCCTGATTCCCTCTTCCCCCTCAACACTCACCCCCATGACAAAAACACCCCAATGACTCATAGTAAGAAGAAAAGCCACCCCACAGCCACCTACCTCTCTCACCACC